TAATGAAAATAATGGTTCTGTGGATTTGGTAAATCGAATTCGAGTGAGGGATGTTTCACTTGACTCGAATTATTCCGGATACCGTTGTTTTGTGGATGGATCATGGAAAGGAAGTGACAAGTTCTCCGGTACAGGGTGGTTCTGTACATCGTCAAATGGAGAACCGCCAACAATGGGAGCTGCGAACCTCCGTAGAAGTCTATCTCCACTACATGCAGAAGTCGAGGCCCTTCTCTGGGCGATGAAGTGTATGATTGGTGCAGATAATCAAGAGGTAGCGTTCTTTACAGACTGTTCAGACCTGGTGAAGATGGTGTCTTCTCCAACCGAATGGCCGGCGTTTTCAGTGTACTTGGAGGAATTTCAGAGCGACAAGGAGGAGTTTTCATCTTTTTCTTTATCTTTAATTTCTCGTGGGGCTAATGTTAAAGCGGATAATCTGGCACGAAAAGTTCGTACAGAACCGCGTCATATCACTTATGTAAACAACATTCCTCAGGAATGGCTCTTTTGAGCTCTAGTTAATTTTGGATGACAAAAAAAAAAAAAACACGAGGACCATCTTGCGAGAAAGAAGGTTTAAGGTCTTGTTCTTTTATGCACATGTTTTGGGTTCCACACTTTTAGGAGGGGAATTCAATGATGCAATTCAAAGAATTTAATTGAACAGAAAAAAAAAAGAAAAGAATCAGAAGTGTTTTTTAAGGATTTGATTGATTTATTTCTTCACCCGAATGACACTATAAAATCTCGGAATTATTTCTTCACATTTGTAGTGTAGTTGTTGTTATTGAATTCCTTTGACATCAAAACCTCATTTTCAAAAAAAAAAACATCAAAACCATCCTAATATTAAATAACACTAAGGGAGATGTATTGGATAAAGGATTTAGAGTGATTTCTTTTAAAATGGCATATCCTATGTTATTCAAATATGAATTTTAATTTTTTTTCTAAAACCAAGTGTTATTGGATTAGTGATTTTAAAATGAACAATCAAATCCACTGTTATTGGAAATATTTTAAGTAGTGGATTTGAAGTCATTTGAGTGATTTTAAGTGAGATTTCAAAGAATTTATTAGTTAAAAATACAAAAATACAAATCTCATAGTTTTATGTGAGATTTGAGAGAATTTTAATAACAAAATTCACCAAAATCATCTCAAAACTCAATAAAACTCAAATCAATCTAAATTCATCATTCAATACACCTCCCAGCAATTGATAGAATTCAAAAATCAATAAGCCAAATTTACAGGAATTTAAACGGTTAATTAGAATTATATGGAATGTTTAACAAAATTATTTCCAATCACTAGTAAAATCATTTTAACCAATTCAGAATGCGTTTGATCCACCACTGATGCAACTTGAATCAAAATCAAGACTGTGATGATTAACATAGCTCCAAAACAATTTCCTTTGTCACATAATAAAAAAGATCCATAGATAGAAAATAAAATTGCACAAGACACTATTTTGCTTTAATATTATGGATTAGAGACAATCAATTTACATCGATGTTCGGGAGAAAATACTTCATAAAATAGATAGTTTCATGTGAAATTCAATGAATATGATAAATATTTGGTAAATCAAACTTAAAACAACCGTTAGGGAAAATAGATATTGTGAACCCGCCGATAAAGTAAATTCAAGCTAAATTAAGAGGGGTTTTTTGGAAGAAGGCGATGCTTTGTATAAGAAGAATGGAACATGCAGTTTATACTACTCATACTTTTAAAATTTTATTTATTTTCTATCTTAGTTTTTGTAAATTTCCTCTAAGTTCTATTTTAAGTACCAGAATAGTATAATATTCAAGTAATAATTATAATATATATTAAAATCACAAAACATCTAACTTTATGAACAAACAAATTATTCCAAAAAAAATATTACGTTTTGAAACGAATGGGAATTATTGATTAGATTTGTCTACCGTATATGAAGACTTAACTACGTATTCAAGACAAAAACAACGAATTTTTTGTTGTGTTTACCAAACAACGAATCTCCATGACTCCATCTAAGAGAGTTGCCAAGAGTAAACATAGATCTAAGAATTAGATTGATAATATACCAAATAAGGCCTTGGTTCTGAAAATAGGTAGGACTATGGTCCCCCCTTGTCCAACGCATGTGTTTTGTACCATGCTTCTTCACCTACCCACTTCTCTCAATTCCATATTTATGTGTATTCAAAGAACTTTGGTGGAGGTGTCCTTTTTTTTTGGGACTCTGGCTACAAGAAAATTCACAAAATAACAGTTTTCAATTTGAGGTTGGGGAAATTAAACATTAGGAATACGTTGGGTTTGGCCCAAAAAAAAAAAAAAAGGAATACGTTGGGTCAAAAAAAAAAAATCTTTTTTTTTCCGGATAAAAGTCTGAATTTATGTTTATTGTCCAAAATACTACTGACTACTGAGTATAATCTTGTACCTGATACCTTAGTTACAGACAAAAAGTATACTATGATCAAACAAATATAAGTGGATTTGATTGGCAACTATCACAGTCAAAATAGATATAGATGAAAATAATGAATAAAATGAATACAAAAGAATTGACCCAATAAAAGAAGAAGAAATGGATACACAAGAACTAATAAAAAAAAGTTTTAAACTTGAAAAACAACTGGATTCTCTTTAGCACAAAAAAATTAAATAAAGTTATAGCAATAATTAGATTTAAGTTAGTTTCAAAAATTATTTATCAATTTTTAAAAAATATTCTCTTATATACTAGTTTCAATTACTGCTTTACTTCTTACTTCTCAAATATATCGAGAACAACGGTTTAACTTTTCAAAAGTAAATTTCTAAGGTAAACAAATATAAGAAAAAAATATGTACATATCATTAAAAGTTAGGTGGAATAACCTAAATGTGGTTCATATATTCATATGTAAGGAAGTGGGAAAATGAGTAAAGCCCTATCTTTTCCCTAAACCATTTAATACCTTTTCATAAGGATTTAAAACCATGCGTTTTTTGATAAAAATTTAAACAACATTCAATATCAACAAAACATAAAAATCAGACAATGCGCTAATTTTCTTACAAATACGAGTTCTTAGTTGTCTTACCCATATTTTGCAATACTATGTAGTTGAGGTTTTTTGATGAAGATAAAGAACTGTCGTCGAGATGAAAACGATTTTAAGACATGAAGGTCAAAGAAAGGTGAATATCGAGAGAAAATATAGATAATGAGCTTTGGAATCAAGTCTCATTTCGTCAAAAATCGGATCCTTCTCTTTAATATATCATGACTCTTGAGAATATAAGTGGCTTACGTGACCCAAATCCTGATTATGGACCGGGCAAGAGATGCATTTTGTTGACCGCTAAATGTTTGACAACATTGATGCTTAGGAGTGTAACTATGTGAGCTTAAGCACAACTAGCCTTACCTAAATGAATTATTGAATACTACTTGTTTGATTACTGTGTTGCTTAGGCATGTTAAACTGAGAGTATGGGTCTAACAAACATTAGCAAGTTCGTCCCAAAATGATAAAATAAGCGATGGAGTAAAGAGATTCCTCTAATCAAAAAGACACGTGCCGGCGCTAAAAATTAGTCTAAGATTTTAATTAAGTTGTAGATATGGTTGATCGAGAATTTTGCAACTAGGCAACCAAGGTGGTGAAATAGATTGACGCACAATCGGGTGTGGGTTTGGTACATATTTTGTAAGGATCATGTACGTGTGGGTGCTATGAGAGAATAATATGCGAGCAAGATCGATAATTGACAAGGAAATAATATATGAGAATAATATGCGAACAAGATTGATAACTGACAAGGCGGTTGGAAAAAAAAAAGATGAAACTCAGGTTCATATTGGAAAAGGATCGAAGCTGTGAATGATGATGCATAATCCGGATTAACCCATATATTTCTTATGTATCCTTAATGGATGCACGTAGGTTTGTAAGTATAAAACGATTAGTGCGTGAGATAGAAAACAAGATTAAAAAGGATAATCATGATAGATGGACTAAGATTTTTTTTATATACATATAAGCTTATGAACTGAGGTAGGTCAGAAAGTGGCTTGGATAAAAACATTTCGACTATAGAGCAAATAATCTAGGTCTAGTTGTTTAACACTTTGCTAGAAGCCGAGTATTTATAAAAAGATATATGACTCAAGCTTTATAACCGAATTTTGTATAGTTGGGTTGGATCTCTATAATCACATAGCTAGGAGACTAACAGTGAAGTTTTTTCGCCTTATACGACGATGTGATCGCTTGGATTTTGTCTGTTTGAATGTTAGTTGACGTTCCCTTAGTCGAAAGATAGTGTTTTGCTTGATTGAGGTGTGCGTGCCTTTTGACATGAAAGTATTGATGTTATGTCGATTATTTGGTGCTTAAGACTATGCCTCATAATCGCCATCCGACATGCTCTTCAACAAGCCCTCACCACAGGGTTGCAAGCAATCGAAACCATCAAATCAGAAATTCCACCGAATAAACTCCATGGTATTCACCACGATATCCTAATCATATTTTCTAATTTTCGTAAAATCAGTTTTAGTTTTATTTCTAGAGGGAAAAATCGCAAAGTAAATGCTCTTGCTTAACTTTCACTTAGAAACTTTTGTATCGGTGATCTAATTTTCTAATAGTAAAAGAGAAATCTTTTGTCCCAAAAAAAAAGATTCTGCCTCGTTAACCAAAAATACAGTAAAATGTGAGTTGAAAATCGGGAATTCTAAACCCTTTCGCTAGCAGATAGTGCGTTGAATTTATTATCTCTAATTTGTCAAAAAAATTAGATAATGTATCGATTTTTTTTCATGAAAAGATCAGACGAAAAAGTGTTCACGAGTTAAGTTTTATCTTGAATTGATACTAGAAAAAATCATCTTAACAACTTAAAATCAGTATTATGTCTTTAATTTAAAATATAACCTAAAGTTTTAAAAGGCGGACTTTTCAACGAAAGGTTAAAAATATAGAAACGCTTTCTTCTCACATTTCCATTTCAATAAATAAAGAAGACGCCTCCGAATTCCAGAATTGTTTCTGTAGCATATTTGGTTTCATCAGCCCACCAACCAACCCACTCGACGGAGTCTCCAACGCCTTCTTCATTCTCCACTCTCACCAACTTCTGATTCAGATCTCCACGATGCAAAGCTCCGCCGTATTTTCCCTCTCTCCGTCGCTCCCTCTCCTAAAACCACGGCGGCTCTCTCTCCGCCACCATTCCTTAACCACCGCTTCTTCCTCCTCCTCTTCAAGCGATCTAAACATTTCTCCAAATGTTGTCTCTATTCCTTCTTTATCTCGTCGATCTTGGCGTCTCGCTTCATCTGATTCGCCTCTCCGAGCTTGGTCCGGTGTTCCTTCTTCGATCTCTCACTCTCTCGACACGAATCGTTTCAAAACCGCCGCTACTGCAGTTCCTGAAAGTGCTGAGGAAGGAGATAACAGTGGAAAATTGACGAAGATACTAGAACTTGGCTTGTTGTTTGCTATGTGGTACCTTTTCAATATCTACTTCAACATCTACAATAAACAGGTACAAGCCTTTGCTTATTGTATCTGTCTCCAATGTTTTCGTGTTCTCTACATGCCTAGTTTAGTCCACTGTTTTATCTGTTTTGAATCAATGGAGAACTCAGAAATTTTATTATAGCTTATAGTTGTAGGATACTGTTGAGAGTTTCGTCTCGCTGATTCCGAAAATTTTAGTGTTCATTGTGTTTTGGGTAATTGTTATAAGCTTATAATTTTGATATATTGAAATAATCTTAACGATTAAGATTCATTTTTGTGTTCAATCGTGTTTTGATTAGCTTTGATTAGGATGAAGAGTTCAGAAATTTGATTATATCTTACATTCATAGGATACTGGAGAGATATTCGTCCCGTTAATTTTTCGTGTTCATAATGTTTTGGCAAGTTATTATAAGTTCATAATTTTGATATATTCAAGTAACCTTAATGATTTAGATTCATTTTTGTGTTTATTCGTGTTTTGATTAGCTTTGATTAGGATGAAGAGTTCAGAAATTTGATTTTATCTTACAGTCATAGGATACTGGAGAGATATTTTGTTCCGATGATTCCGAAAATTTTCGTGTACATTGTGTTTTGGCTAATTGTTATAAGTTTATACTTTTGATATATTGAACTAACTTTCTCAGAATGTAAAGGTTTAGATTCATCTTTGTGTTCTATCATGTTTTGATTAGGATGAAGAATTCACAAATTTGATTATATCTTATACAGGAGAGAGATGTGTTTCGCTGATTTTATTGCTTGATTTTGAGAGAACCAATAGTTGTTTCTTGTTTCTTCTTATTCTTGCAGGTTTTGAAAGCTCTACACGCTCCAATGACTGTCACTTTGGTTCAGTTTGCAGTCGGTAGTGTGCTCATTACTATCATGTGGGTTCTTAACCTGTACAAGAGACCGAAGATCAGTGGTGCTCAGGTGTGTTTTTATTTATTTAATGGAAGCTGTTAATTCGCTTAAAAGCTACTTGTTCTGGAGATGTGTCACTCACTCTGATATGTTTACCTTGATAGCTAGCTGCCATCTTGCCGCTTGCTGTTGTGCACACACTTGGTAATCTGTTTACGAACATGAGTCTTGGGAAAGTTTCTGTTTCCTTTACTCACACCATTAAAGCCATGGAGCCTTTCTTCTCTGTGTTGTTGTCTGCTATGTTTCTCGGAGAGGTGAGCTCTTTTTTTATTTGTGTTTTTCTTTGACATCTCGGAGTTGATTGATGCACTGTCTTCCCGTCTGGACTAAGTTGCTATGAGTTTCTTGTTTCTAACGGCCTATGTATGATACTCTATAGTCATTGACTTTGTTTTGTTTGTGTAAAGCCTAATTTATTTTACTAACTTCTTCTTAGACGCCTACTCCATGGGTACTCGGTGCCATTGTACCAATTGTTGGTGGAGTTGCACTTGCTTCAATTTCGGAGGTCTCATTTAACTGGTCAGTATGTCGACGAGTATTCTGACATTTAAGTTGGTGATTGTCTAGTCTTCTGATAACTTTCATGTATTTACTAAGTTTATTTGTTGTGGCAGGGCTGGATTTTCGAGTGCAATGGCATCAAACTTGACTAACCAATCCCGTAATGTGCTGAGTAAGAAAGTCATGGTTAAGAAAGATGTAAGTTTCCTGTGCGTGAACCAAATTTTCACTGGACGTGTTATGGAATAAATTAACTAAAACTTGATTTTGTGTCTCGGCAGGATTCTCTGGACAACATCACTCTCTTCTCAATTATAACATTGATGTCTCTCGTTCTGATGGCTCCTGTGACTTTCTTTACGGAAGGCATCAAGTTCACTCCTTCATACATTCAATCTGCTGTGAGTTTATTATATATTACCAAACTATTTTGTGTATCCTTCACAAATATTTAACAACCCATCTCGGTTTTGCAGGGTGTGAATGTTCAACAAATATATACAAAGTCTCTTATTGCTGCACTCTGCTTCCACGCATACCAGCAGGTAAGGCTTTTTTTCTCTTAATGACTTTGTTGCTTCACTTGAGCATATAAAGATTGAATTGACTTTTGTGAAATGCGGAAAATACAGGTGTCGTACATGATATTGGCGAGAGTATCACCGGTTACACATTCTGTTGGAAACTGTGTGAAACGTGTTGTGGTTATTGTGAGCTCTGTCATCTTCTTCAAGACACCCGTCTCGCCTGTTAATGCTTTTGGTAATATACAGTCTTATTTTCGGCTTCTGTGAATACACAATCTTTTGGTGCTCATTGTTGTTTATTTTTGTCTCTGCTGCAGGAACTGGGATCGCCCTTGCGGGTGTCTTCTTATACTCCAGAGTTAAGGGTATTAAGCCAAAGCCGAAGACTGCTTAAGCAAATATCTGCTAATACCTAATGTCATATCACTCCCGCGCTTTGGATTTTTATACAATTTCTCGAGCTGAAGTTTTCAGATAGATGGTTTTATTCTTTTGCGGGTTGTTCACGAAGTTTCATTATCGCTTTTTAAGTTTTTCGCTGCAGCCATGGGTTCTCTTAGAGTTTGTTATAAGTTCTCTTCTGTGTCTAGACAAATGCTAAACTCATAAATTTCTTACAGTTTTCCAAGAATAACTTGTCAACACTCAACACAATCTCATTGGTGCTTTTAGGTTTACACGTAGGTTTATTAGGAGCACGTGAATTGTTCCTTTTGCTATGGTGATAAAAAGTATTAAGTATTTGTAATACCTCTTGATTTACACCGATTTATTAATCTGCACGAGTTGTTGTCCACAGTTGACAGTTCAATGCCTCTAAGAAATATGGATGTAGCATTAGGCACTAGACTTTTTTCTTGGCTCTAGTTTTAGGATTTTGCAGACTATTAAATGTATCAGTAACTTATGCACTAACTAACATAAGTTGTGCAACAAATACAATAACCATCAACTATTGTCTTTCTATTTGACACAACATTTATGGTGGACATTCATTCATTAGATATGAAATTTCATATTTGACCGCGGTTTCTTTCTTGTTTTATGTCTACTTGAATGAAGAAAAAGTTATGTGTATGCAAATCAATTGGATTCGTTGGATATTACATTTTTGTTTTGGTTTAGTCCGTTGAACTTATTTTTCGGTACTAATGTTGAAAAAGAGAAAAATGTTGGGTCACATTGAGAGATAGAAAACAAGGGTTACAGTGTTGGTGAAAGACCCCAACCCGGTTTGCAAAAACTCGGCCACAAGGCACCCAGAACACAGCCTCACCGGAGACCCAAAATTCCGGCGAAACTCCGGCGACTTTTCCGATTTGCTCGGAAAACTCTCAAAACACAGATTCAGATGTAATCAAGCTAACCACTCAACTTAAACCATTCTACGCAGCCGGAAAACACTACAAAGCTAAGCCAATACATACAAGTACCTTAGCCATTCGTAGACTCTGATTTCCTCCGGATCCCAAAGCTTCCACGAACGCATTCCGCAATCCGCTCCGAAGACCCGATCTTCCAACATTACCATACCGATCACAACTTCCCTTGAAATGGCTAACTAATGATTCATCCAACATCTCCCTTCGTACCGAGTCACTCAACCAACCATCCCCACATGACCAAGTATGAAGAGAGATGTTCGGATTACACATCAGACACCGAACATTCGTGTTACCTCACGGGCACCACCAGAACACCAGAATTATGATCCTTCCGATCACCAGAACACCCTGAACAGATCCGCTCCAATCGTGAAACTCACCAGATTCCATCCGATCCGATCAACAGCCTAACCAGACTCCATCCGCTCCGATCAACTAACAGTACCGATCTGATCCGATCCTCCAAGACTGATTCCGAGCAACCGCCAGATACTTGCTCGATAACTGCTCTCGATCACGGGCAACATCCATTCAGTAATCGCTCTCAATCACGGACTGCCGGGTAACCGCCAGATTCACGACCGTCGAAACAGACTCTCGGTAACCGCCTGTACCGCTCGATCCACTCTCTCGGATTATTGATAACCGTTAGACGCATTACGATCACCGCAAGCAAATGCTCGATCACCGCAAGCAGATGCTCGATCACCAACTACCGCCGTCGGTAACCGCTCGACCGATCCTCCATCTCTCTCGGATAATTTATCTACGAGCTTTCGCGCTTAGGAACAGAGAATAACCCAAGGCATGAGTGATCGCGCAAATCCCCATCCCTTTGTATTTATAGACGCGTTAGGGTAGTTTTCTCGGCCAAAACCGCCCATAACCGCTCCACTACGCAGATCCGCGTGTATCCACACGCCCACTAACTCCATAACCGCCCACGATCAGGATTCCGTGCGTCCGCACAATCCTGATAACCGTCCCGCGTCCAGAAACCCGATCCAAACCCATGGACTATCCGCTGGGTCGACACGCGGATCCTGAACTAAAATCCCGAAATTCTCGGAAATAACCGTTGCACGATCAGTACGTCCGGATACATACAGATACGTCCGCATACGCACGGATACGTCCGGATAACCATACGGAACAGTCCGTCCGTCCGGATCACGTACCGATCAGTCCGGATACGTACGGATACGTCCGGATGACCGTTCGGAACCGTCCGGATCTCACAATCGTCGTCCGTTTCCACGCACATTCGGATACACTCGAGTAAAGACCTTGTCTTTACCCTTCAGTACCACCCACGGGCGTAGGGAGACGGGCGTTACAATTCTCCCCCACTTAGAATGAATTCGTCCTCGAATTCTAACGGTGGTGGAATCTCAATCCGCTACTCCGCCCTTACCAGAATTTCCGTATTTTTGACTCGGCTTTCGCTCTAGCCCGAGCAAAATCTCACTAAATCAGATCTTCGTATCCAACTAACTAAGCATAGTAGTCTTTTAGTTCCGAGCCATCTCTTGGTTATCGTAAAAGCATTAGCAATGAAATCTAATAGCTTAAACCGACTTACCTCAATTCTCGGTGACTTAACCCACTACCTTAATTGAGTTGAATCCACCATTTTCGATCGCAGCCTCTCCAAGACTCGATCTCAGATGCTTGACCTTAATCTCTCTTAGACTAGATCAACAATTTCCCGATAACAATCTCTCACGGACTTGATCCCGACACTTGATCAATCTTTCCAGAACATGATCCAGATTCTGTTCGACCACTTCCTGGCCACACATAGTCTCATTATACAGAAAAAATCATTCTTTTTCCATGTTATGCATGGCTATTCTACCCTCCGGGCAGTCTATTGGTTTACGGTTAAGCCTCGGAAACTCTCCAAGTCTTCGAGCGCATTAACACGTCTCACCTCAACTCCCTTCTAAGTACGAATGCCTTACATGAACCAAACATTCCTTAGCATGGACCATCTCCGAGTGCTAGGATACAGAACTTACCCATTCCATACAGACACTTACGGATCTCTCCCGATCCTAACAGAATTCCTGGCTCATCAGCCATACTTTGGCGGACTTATCAGGTCCCCACAGATTTTGGTACTAACACATCATGACGAACTCTCTAGTTCTCACCGATGTTCTCACAGACATGCTTTGGCGAACTAAGTTTCCACAAGCGATATACAGACACGGACACGCCTTGGTAAACTCATATGTTCCCAAAGTCACGATCATAGAAACGTGATGGCGAACACATCCTGTTCCCACCAACGTCATACAGACAGGTTCAGACAACTCTCGAAGTTCCCATAGATGACACAACAGACACGTCTCTATGAACTCCCGAAGTTTTTATAGACCATTCAACAGACAGATTTCGGCGAACTCTCCATGTCCCCGCAGACCAGACTACATGCTCATCTTGGCGAACTACGCAAGTCCCCAAAGATGATGCAACAGAACGTCTCGAAAACTCTCAAAGTCTCCGCAAACGATAACAGATTTGTATCGACCACTCTTAGCGTATTTCGGTTGTCGTAATGGGAAGTTCAAATTGGCCCAAACAGAGATCGTCTTGGCGAACTCTCGATTCCCCAAGAACACGATCACAGAAAACTCGCCATGTATAATTATCCGTAGTTACCGAGCAGCTCGTAATCTAGACAAACCTTAGCGAGCACCCAAGCCCCTAAGTGTGTTGCCTTATTCCGACTCTCGAGTAAAATGAATCAATCACCATGACAGAGCAACATCACAGAAAACGACTTAGCAAACCAACATGGTTCCTAAGGTCGCCAACAGAAACTGGCCCCAAACTCCCATCAACACTCCGACCATCCCGCTTAAGCACGATACTTATTTCCACCGATCACAAGACCTTATCGGTATGACTTTTGTAGTCATTCAACCTTGACTTAATCGCGGTCTCACTTCTTGACCATCAAACAGGTCTTTGGCAAGAACGCTTGACTCCCAATCTCTTGTTCTCTTTGATCTCAACTCTAGAACCGTACATGCACTACATGATCGAGTTACTCTTCCGCACTCTCCGACTACTCCCTTAGTCAATTGCGGCTCAGACATTCCGTTTACTCCTTACGTAAACTTAACCTCCAGATTTCACCATCAGATTCTTGTGTCCTGTCTACCTACCTTGTAAGCTACAGTTCAGACTTCCAACCTTAGAATTTATATTTCCTTCCTAGAAATCTCCGAATACTTTCTAAGAACTCACGGATTCCTCATACAGACCAGAATCATTCCGGAATCTCCGACAATGTAAGATAACCATCTATACATCTCGTCAAGCTTGTCTCAACATGAAGTCTCCCCCACTTCATGTTTCGGCAACTCCTTTGCCTTTCATAGACACTGAATTCCATTTACATTCCGTGAACCCTCAGGTTAGGTTTCCGAATCCCTTACTAGACTATACTCATCCACGATTGAGTTAGTCTATCAGGTCACCGGCTGTTCCCTTAGCCTTAACACAATCTCCTTACAAAACCACGGATTTCCTTTTCAGATTCTCCGACGATATAGGATCCTTATCCATATATCTCGGTCAAGATAAGACTAGTGAAGTCTCCCTCACTTCACGTTCCGACCATTGATTCGTCATAACCAGTTCACTTAGGGAATTTCCATCCCTTTCGTGACACTCTTGGTTTCAGTGCACAGGCTAACTAGTCCTTAACGATTTCCAGAATTGCTAGATCACCATCCAGCCATCGTCACATCAGATAACTTCTCGGCACTCCGCTGCCTTAACCAGACTTATGGTTTCTGATACGACTTTCCGCAAGTCGATATCCAAACATAACATCGTTAGTGATTCACCGCCAAAATCCCATGACCCGTGTGATCCATCACTAACACCAAACTTCGCCACGATCAGCTCCTAGACCGTCTTGCTTTTCCTCAGAACCTTTTGCCCGGAAACTTCGTTAAGTCCCGAATGCTTGCTAGTCATTCCTTCCACTTTCCTATGCCGGAATCCGGATCCAATGACTAGTTGCCAACACTTAGTCATTCTCCAATGACTTTGATCAATTCATTTCCGATGATTTGATCAAGTTAGTAAAACTAACTTATCTTCTTTTCCGACACTTCTCCTAAGCGTCAAACTCAAATCCCTAACCAGAAAGACTTCGCTTCTCCGGAGTACCAATCGCAGACCACCCACCAGAACGTCTTCGCTACTCCGAAGCACCACACCAGATCACTTCCTACTCAATCGCTTCCGGATCAAGTACCGCAGCAATTCGCCAATGCTTCCCTAAGCATTTCCCGCGTCTAATCGATCTAGACAAGTAACTTTCCTTTGAAACTATGTCCTAGAACCAACCACGCTCTGATACCAAATTGAAAGACCCCAACCCAGTTTGCAAAAACTCGGCCACAAGGCACCCAGAACACAGTCTCACCGGAGACCCAAAATTCCGGCGAAACTCCGGCGACTTTTCCGATTTGCTCGGAAAACTCTCAAAACACAGATTCAGATGCATTCAAGCTAACCACTTAACTTAAACCATTCTACACAGCCGGAGAACACTACAAAGCTAAGCCAATACATACAAGTACCTTAGCCATTCGTAGACTCTGATTTCCTCCGGATCCCAAAGCTTCCACGAACGCATTCCGCAATCCGCTCCGAAGACCCGATCTTCCAACATTACCATACCGATCACAACTTCCCTTGAAATGGCTAACTAATGATTCATCCAACATCTCCCTTCGTACCGAGTCACTCAACCAACCATCCCCACATGACCAAGTATGAAGAGAGATGTTCGGATTACACATCAGACACCGAACATTCGTGTTACCTCACGGGCACCACCAGAACACCAGAATTATGATCCTTCCGATCACCAGAACACCCTGAACAGATCCGCTCCAATCGTGAAACTCACCAGATTCCATCCGATCCGATCAACAGCCTAACCAGACTCCATCCGCTCCGATCAACTAACAGTACCGATCTGATCCGATCCTCCAAGACTGATTCCGAGCAACCGCCAGATACTTGCTCGATAACTGCTCTCGATCACGGGCAACATCCATTCAGTAATCGCTCTCAATCACGGACTGCCGGGTAACCGCCAGATTCACGACCGTCGAAACAGACTCTCGGTAACCGCCTGTACCGCTCGATCCACTCTCTCGGATTATTGATAACCGTTAGACGCATTACGATCACCGCAAGCAAATGCTCGATCACCGCAAGCAGATGCTCGATCACCAACTACCGCCGTCGGTAACCGCTCGACCGATCCTCCATCTCTCTCGGATAATTTATCTACGAGCTTTCGCGCTTAGGAACAGAGAATAACCCAAGGCATGAGTGATCGCGCAAATCCCCATCCCTTTGTATTTATAGACGCGTTAGGGTAGTTTTCTCGGCCAAAACCGCCCATAACCGCTCCACTACGCAGATCCGCGTGTATCCACACGCCCACTAACTCCATAACCGCCCACGATCAGGATTCCGTGCGTCCGCACAATCCTGATAACCGTCCCGCGTCCAGAAACCCGATCCAAACCCATGGACTATCCGCTGGGTCGACACGCGGATCCTGAACTAAAATCCCGAAATTCTCGGAAATAACCGTTGCACGATCAGTACGTCCGGATACATACAGATACGTCCGCATACGCACGGATACGTCCGGATAACCATACGGAACAGTCCGTCCGTCCGGATCACGTACCGATCAGTCCGGATACGTACGGATACGTCCGGATGACCGTTCGGAACCGTCCGGATCTCACAATCGTCGTCCGTTTCCACGCACATTCGGATACACTCGAGTAAAGACCTTGTCTTTACCCTTCAGTACCACCCACGGGCGTAGGGAGACGGGCGTTACAGTTGGTCACATAACTTATGTTAGTGTGTGTATGTCACCCTGCAAATTTAATACTTTGTGTAAATGTTTTTTTTTTTTTTTTTTTTTTTTTGGCTCAACATCAACTTTCCATTCACCAATTAACATACACTTGGTTTGTCCACCATTACACAATGCTTAATCCAATTTGGCATTAACGAGTACAACTTAGGATCATAGTTCTCAAAAGAAAGAGATTCCTTGGTCAGCCACTCCATTACATCCTCTTGGTGAGTAAATCACTATGGCCTCTTGAAACTGTTGGAGCAAAAGCTTGATATCTTGGAGGGTTGGGGCATAAGATGGCCAGGATTCATTATTATTGATCAGATTGACTACCTCTAGAGAGTCAGATTCAAAGATAACCTTTTGGTAGTTGAATCTGATAATCGTGAGGATTGCCCATCTCAATGCCTCTAGCTCCACTTCCAGTACCGATCGAGTTCTGCGCAAAGCTTTTGCTCCCATCCACAACACTGTTCCATCGCTAGTTCGGAGAACCCAGCCCGTTCCACTTGGACTGCCATCTCCTTGTCTAGTTCCATCGGTGTTACATTTAACCCAGCCCCTAGGTGGAGGTTTCCATTTTTCAACACTCACCCTCGGTCTAGAATGTCCTCTCCTCGTCTCTTCTTGTTCTTTCATGTTTGATCATTCAAGTGCATCTTCCACCGCCTTTTTGACCGTGTCCTGAGCATTAAAGTCTTTCCCTTTAAAGATGAAATCACATCTGGATTTCCAGAGTCTCCAAAGCAGCCATGGTACTATCTTACTAGTCTCTGCTTATTGAGGATGAAACATATGTATATTCAGGACTCTATGCATATCAGAATAGATAGAATCAGCCCATGTACCATTTGGGGGAGATGGAATATGAGACAATGCCCAGGCTTGCCTAGCATAGGTACAGTGGAACAACAGGTGATTAACTGTTTTTGCGCAATGAGTGCATCTAGGGCAGGAGGCATCCTTAGATAGATGACGGAAGGCCATATTCTTAGCCACGGAGAGGCAGTTATTCAGACACCTCCATAAGAAATGTTGGACTTTTGGACTTGCCTCTGTTTTCCAAACTTGATGGAGGAGGGGATCTAGGCTGGGTTGGTTAGCTTCTTGCAACATGTTTCTCTTATTGATTACTTGGGTTAAGGTTCAGTACCCAAGTAAATCCATCTTGCCTATTCTGTCCCCCAGGCCGTAGCTCCTCAATTAACACCTTGTCCTCTTCCAAGAAAACTGCCTCTAAGAGTTCTTTTTTCCATTCTCTTTTACTATCATCAAGGAGGTCTTTAACCTTTGCTAGCGACGAGACAATATTAAATAAATGTGGTGGAACCTGTTTGACCCTTTGAATGCTTCTTGCTGGTTTATAATGGAGCCATGGGTGCCTCCAGATATCAGTGTTTTCCCCATCTCCCACGACCATTCTTGCGCCTTGTCGAATCAGCTCTTGAGCTGCGTGTATGCTTTTCCAAGCAAAGGAAGGCCTGGATCCCAGCTTTGCCAAAAGAGGATTATAGTTTTGAAAGTACATGCTCTTGAAGATCCTTGCCGAAAGGGTGTTGGGACAGGTTAACATGCGCCAGAGTTGCTTTCCTAGGAGGGCAATATTAAAAGCTTCAATATCCTTGAAGCCCAGCCCACCTTCTTGTTTGGGTTTACTGAGATGTTCCCACGCTTTCCAGTGCATTCCTCTAGTTTCTCTCTTATTTTTCAACCAAAAATCTGCCATGACAGAAGCTAGCTATTGGCACACAGTTTTTGGGAGCTTAAAGCACGTTATGGTATAAGTAGGGAGGGCCATTGCAACCGCTTTTAGCAATACTTCTTTACCACCAGGAGAAAGAAAAGTCATTTGCCAACCTGAGATCTTTTGTTGGAGTCTCTCCTTTAAATAACTCAAGATAATAGCCACCTTAGATCCAGAAAAAGATTCAGGCAGACCGAGGTAGATACCTTCTCCTCCTTCTTGATTAATTGCAGTGATCCTCTTTATCTCTTCTCTTCTATCCTGAGGAATCTGCTTACCAAAGTAAATACTGGATTTTTGATAATTGATTCTCTGACCGGAAGCAACACTGTACTCGTCCAGAATACTCATAATTTGGAGGAGTTAATCATCTTTTTCTTTGCAGTAGAAGATGCTGTCATTTGCAAAAAGCAGATGGGACACAGGTGATGCTCCTCTAGCCACTTTAAGTCCTGTAATTCTACCTTCTTCTTCAACTTTCTGCAGCATTCTAACAAGCATCTCAGAGCATAAGACAAATAGGTAGGGAGACAAAGGATCACCTTGTCTTATGCCTCTAGATGGGTTAATTTCACCATAAGGAGTACCGTTGATCAAGACTTGATAGCTGACTGTTTTGACACAACTCATAATAAGACTGATCCATTTCTCTGAGAATCCCAGCTCCTTCATGGTTCTCTCCAAGAATGGCCATTCTACTCTATCATATGCCTTGGAAATGTCCGTCTTTAATGCTATAAACTCTTCAGAACATTTGTTTTTTGAGTTCAGAGCATGGAGCAGCTCATGAGCAACCAAGATGTTATCCGATATTTGCCTCCCTTTAATGAAAACTGCATGAGTAATGGAAACCACACTTGGGAGCATCTTCTTGAGCCTGTGGGCCAGGAGTTTGGCAATGATTTTGTAGACTATACTTTGTGTAAATATAGATATATTAATTTTATGGGGGTGGCCATGTGATCGGTTATACTTAGAGGAACAATCATTTTCTCTTAGAGGGAACAAAGAAATGATAAAATGGAATGGAAAGTGAATGTTGAACAAAAAATAGAAAGGAGAGATGACGAGAGCATTAGAAGAAGAAAGAGAAAAGCTCAAGGCATTTTTTCGTGTGTTGTAGAAATTTGTTTTTCTTAATTCTTATTAAACAAAAACTAAGAAGTTTTTTTCTTTCCTATTTAAAATTGTGGTTAAAATTTTCTTTTCTAGAAAATAATGTTTGTATTCGAAGCCGTAAAAATAAAGAAGCATTGTACACACAGGCACAACTTCCAAAGCTTCTATCAATCAAATCGATAATGTATTATATTGTTTAATATTTTTACTAAGGGTGCGACTGGTGTCAAACGAGAAGAAAAGAAAATAGAAGAATTTAGAAGAATTATTCCTTTCTCATTTTATGTAGGAGAAATTTTTTTCCAAAACAAAAAAAAATTGCTTTGATAACAAAACAATTGTGTGAACCTAGAAGAAAAAAAAATCTTCTACATTGCATACCAGTCACAGCTTATGTGTATAACTTTATAAATGTTATGATTTTAAATTGTAATATATGTAATTTACTTCAAAAACTTTATGTCATTTCCATTAAAAATATTTATGGTGCACAACCATAATCATCACTGGCTTGAACATTTGATAGGCCACAAGGCAAAAAAAGAGGGGCCCTATTATATTAAACAAAAACGTTTACAAAAATATAGAACCAAATAAACAAGGTTTACAAAAAGAAAGCAACAAGGTTATTTTGCAAATTTTCTTCCAACAAATTTAAATAAAATAGCCACAAAACAAAAACTTTTCATTATGCTCTTCCTTCCTAGCTTTTTTTGTAACTTCGTGCTCTCCTGTGTTTCTAAATCAATATAAAATTTAGATTTATTGGGCTAAAGTAAATAACCACCCAATGTTAGGCCAATAATAAAAAAGCTTTTGTCATGTTTTAAAATAAATACAAACATTTATGGGCCCCTTTTGATATTTTTTTTCTTCATACGAAGACTTCTTTATATGTTGTATAATGCTAAATTTATTCAATACCCTCATTTTTCACTTTTTAAAATTTCACATAATTTTCTCTTTCTTCCACATAATAATTCAACACCCACCTAATTTTTAAACACTACAATGGTTTTGTTTAATAAAATTTAACAGTCCACCCCACTCTTTTTTTATTTCATTTTATTATTTTCTTATATATTTTTATTTTCGTGATTGCATATTAATAATAATTGTTGATAAAATTAAGGTAAAACATTGACTAAAATTAAATTAAATTAACTAAAAGTGACATAATTTTTAATAACTTTTTAATTATTTTATGTTCCTAACTAGATTTTTTGAAATAATAAAAATAAAAACAATTATTATTACAAAAACTTCGAATACAATACGATACAAGCACACAACACAATTGATAATAAACAAGAGTTTATCGGAGAATAAAAAAAACTATATTAGAACTGGTGTTTTTTTATGAGTCCAAATGAAATGAACCAAGTTGTGGATGTAGGATTCACACTCGATTGTCTTTAAGTATTTTTGTGGAGAAAAACTCTAAAATCAATGGATGAATATAAGAATTCGAAAGAGAAATTAACCAAGAAAAGAATAAAGTAAAGGAATTTGATAAGAACGAAAATATAAAAAGCCTTGCGAAATTGTAAGAGATAAAGTATGTAGTATTGGTTGATAGTAAAGAGTAAAAGATTGTGTATCCCCCAAACACATGCGTTTGAGGTTGTTTTTATAGAGAAAACATGATTAATGCGGTCATTTACTGCTCATAATCGCGTTGATCCGCATTAACCATGTAAGTTACAATTTGACCAAAACGGCTTGAATTTGAACTATCTTGGGCTTCGTGTGGATCTTCCGAACTCTTTCTTGTTGACTCCAAACTCCCGCGTCTTGACGCTTCTGCGAGCCCCGAACAATATTCTCCTCGCTTCGGCCTTTCTTTATGCGAACTGTCTGTCGAATAAGAGCGAACTCCATACTGGCAAAGATCGAGCTCTTTAATAAACTGAATCGAACTCCCAACTGGTTAAGTCCAATAAAACATCTAGAAATCCAAGAGGATTATTATTTAATAATGACGTGGACAGATCCAAGTGGATCCTACCGAAAGTGTGTGGGATCCGACCCCAACATTTGGCCCCCCAAGTCTTGCGAGCTGAGTGCTCGGCTTGGAAGACTTAAGTAAACAGTAATTAATGACTTGAGATCTTTAACATTCTGGAATTTCTCCATGTTTTACGCTGTTACACCGATCTCGGATAATTAGATGATTTGATTTCCCTGACAACCGTCATCATTAATTTCTTAATTTTATATTAATACTGCGGGGAAAACTGTCCCACTTCCCAATATTCTCGAGGCGGTTTTCCGCTAAATAGGGTTAAATGGAACGACGACTTTTACAGCGTACATTCACCCCTGAAAGCTTTTACCAAACCAGAGAAAGAAAAACCTCTTAGTAAAAAATGTCTTCCCCAGCTGTCTACGTTTCAGACAACGAAGATGACAGCCAAGGAATCCCTGTTCCCAGAGGGGACGAAGTCTTTACCCAAACGGGAGATAAATTCGGTCCGCATTTCAGGTCTCAATCGACCCATGCTTCCCTTGGCGCTCTTCGTCGCCTTTGTAACATTCCTCAGGAAATAGAATTCTCTCTTCCTGGACTAAATGAGTCTCCGGAAATGGTGCGAGAGGGTTACTGTTGTGCGTACGAAGTCTATTTCAAGGGTTGTGGTTTATTTTTTCCCATACCGGAAGTTCTCCTTTTGTATCTCCTACATTTAGGGATCGCTTTTCCCCAAATGGCTCCCAACTTCCTCCGGTACGTCCTGAGCACCCTGACCGTCTCAGCGGAGGCAGGGTTTTCTCTCACCACCAGCGAACTCTTAGGGCTATTTCGAGCCCGTGATTCTGCGGCAGCGGGTATTTTTTCCATGAATCCTATTTTTGACCGTAACCTCATCGACGAAATGCCCCTAAATGATGGGCCTTGGAGGAAATACTGGTTC